AGATGCTAGGCAATTGTGTGCTGTACCCATTACTTACTACATTTATAATTGTCTCCGTGTGTTCTCTCATCTTTAGTAGCTGCTGATTGTCTCCTGTCTTATACTTAGATTTTAAGCTTTTGGGGGCATAGATCATCTCTTCATGTGTTTACAAATGCCTAGCATAATGAGGTCCTGGGCCCTGAATAAGGCCTGTAGGTGCTGCCACAATGATTAATGATAATAAATACAGAGACTGTAGAAGAACAAATGCCAAGACAGTGATTCTGTCAAGAGTATTGAAGCTGTCAGTGCACCAAGTGCTAAAGGAATATCAGCACTTATGAGGCTAATGACGCACAATGCATTGAAATCAGCCTCCATGACTGAGGCCATAGAGGCTAAAATCTTCAAAGAAAACTAATTCTATGAGGAACCACTCCAGAACCCCAAGGAAGCCAAGGGAATGAGGAGAAATCAGTCAAAGGATGTAGAAACGATAGAAAGTGTTCAGTTTTCAAACTGAAGCAGAAGTCTGTAGCTTCATTGAAATCTGAAACTGCATGACTAAATAACTGCATTTCCAACTGACAGCGCTTTATAGCTAAGCATGGACAGAAAGGAATGGCAATGGCCTGAGACACCAGGGCAGTTGGTTCGAGAATAAGATTGGGCAGCCCATGTCGCCAAAGCACCTGAACTCTTTGAGAGTTAGGGGAGTTCTGGCTTATCTCATGCATCAAGCTGAGATCCAAGGATCCAGTCAATGGTAACTCAATTTTTTTCGTTGTCCTTACGCTAAAGGGCAAAGAATTTTTCAACTCCAGTTTGATGGACCAGTTACTTTGACTGCTGATGGAAAAGGGTCATGTTCTTAGTGCAGACAGGGCTAAAATCTCTTTCCTTCTCTCTTCAATCTGTATTTCTTTCCTTCTTTCATTTTTCCTTCCATTTTCTTGCTTCCAGTTTTTTTTTAATTTTCCTTTGTTCATTTACTGTGCTATCTTTCTTTTGCTATTTGCAGAGTCAGTAGAACACTGCACATGGAATTGCTGGAGGGGGGAAATTACCAACAGGATAGTAGCTCTTCTGTATTTTAGGCTCTTGCTTGTATCTTATTGTCTGCCAGTCACAATGGGTGGCCAGGGCAGGGGTTGGAGGGCAACCAGAAACATGATAGGTATGCTTATGCCTGGTAGGATGCAGACAATTTATGGTCCTAATTATTGTTCAGGCTCAAATCTTCCTTTTTTTGGGAGAGAATTCCTGGGAAGGCTATTGTAAGACAATTTCAGCAACATTTGGAGTCCTCAGATGTATTTGATTTTAGCTCTGGGTATAGACTAGTATGGAGATTGTTAGTCTGGGTTGATGGTGTTTGGGTGATTTCAAGTTGATAGACAAAAGTAAGATTTACTTCCTGATTCTTTAGATGTGTTAGAAATTTCTCCCTCTCAAGGGAAAAAAAATATTTCTAAATACCACCCATTCTCTTACACAAGCTTTTCAACAATTATTTTAATGGATGAATCTGTTCTATATAGGTTTTTATATCACACTTATTCCCATAGTATGTGAGTACCTCTCAGTAGTGTGTTAAGCAATGTGATTTCACATCTGTCATGTGTTGTTTGTTCTCTCCTCCTCTTTCCCAGCTGGAGAAACTTCAGTGGACTGCCTTGTTTTGGTAGGGTTTTTTATTTCTTAAATATCTGTTGCTATGTGGTTTATATTAGAGAAGGCATGGTCAAAGAAATGAGCCTCGCACTTGGAGCGGAAAGTGGTGAGGTTTGTGATGGTCCTTGGTTCTGGGGGGAGTTCATTGCAGTTTTGGACCACCCCGGAGAAGGTTCTGTCTCCCGCATGGCCAAGCTTTACTCTAAATGTTGAGAATTCCATTGTGACAGAGAAGCAAAGTTGTTGACCATGGGTTTTGTCCTGCAGCTTTAGACAGTCTTTTAGGTATCCAGGGCCCAGGCCATGGGAGCACTTTGAAGTTAAGGAATGAGACCTTGAACTTGATTCAAAATTCTATGGCAGATGAGTATAGAGCACAGAGGACAGGTTTTGATGTGCTCGTGGTAGCCCATGTTGTTGAGGAGGTAAGCTACTAGTTGGAGTTTCCTAAATGCTAAAGGTTTTGTGCTCAGGTATGTACTCCAGTGCCAGCAATATGCAGATAACACAGCTGTAGTCCAGCTGAGAGGTGGCAAAGGCATGAATAATTGAGGTCAGGTCTTTGTCCGACAGGATGGGATGGAGTCTCTCAGCCAATCAGAGATGTAGAAGGCATTGCTTGCTGGCGTTGCAATGTGACAGCTCAGCATCGGTGAGGAATCAAGGAGTACTCCTAGACTATGGACTGAGTTGACCTATTGTGGATGTGAACCTTAGCTCTAATGAGACTACACTGTGGTTGCAAACTCTTCAAAATACTTCCTTCTGACCACCAGCATCACCTCTGTTTTGCCGAGCTTCGGCTTCAGCCAGCTATTCGTCATCCATGAGTTGATCTCATCCAAACACTGGGCCACCTGGATTGTAGTGGTGTGGTCGTGTGTGATGAAGGATCGATAGAGCTGTGTTATCTGCATATTGCTGGCACTGGAGTACATGTCCAGTGACAAGTTCACTGACAAGTTCACCTAGTGATTGCATGAGAGGACTGGAGAGAGAATTGATCCTTGTAGAACTCCACAAGTGAGGGTTCTAGCAGTGAAAGTGCAGTTTTCCATTTCTACTCTTTTTGGGTGCATACCTCCGGGAAGGACTCAAACCATTTTAGCACATTATTCAGGATTCCTGCCACACTTCTCAGGCGAGACAGCCGTATCTCATGGTTAACAGTGTATGTCTGTCCTCTATCCATTTATAGGAGGGGATCATTCATCAGTGCCAGTTCTGTGTCTTGGCCTGAATCTAGGTTGTGCTGGATCTAGAATGTCGCCATCAGTTAGATGAGTTTGTAGCTGGCTTGCTGCTAGCTTCTCTGAGTTTGCTCAGGAATGGGAGGTTTGATTGTGGGTAGTTTTCTTCAGTGTTGGTTGGACTATTGCATAGCTGTGTCTGTTCCCTCTCACCTCCTCCACCTTCCCAGCAACATATCACCCCTCTCTTATAAAACAAATTAAAAATCCCTTGCAGGGTAACATTTTACCCCACTACAGACCTTTCATGCTTGTGCATTCTTTGATGCACATGATGTAAAACAAATGAATTATTTTCTAGGATTAGTTGTGTTTAGCTCTGAGCACCAAGTATTTAGTATTAAAGTTGTCTAGTTTGCTGATTTTCTGTGATAACAGAAGTACAGTTTATTAGTTAGGTTAGCTGGTCTTTACTGAACTGTCTTCCAGTTGTATAAATATTGTTTTTGCAGTACAGCATATTGCACAAAACAATTTTGCAATTAGAAATATTGCTATGTCAGGAAACAGGAAAACACATTGTTAAAAAATACATTCAGGAAATATATTACTCAAAGGAGTTCATGTTCACTTAATGGAGGAAACTGACAGCAGAGACTGTTTATAAGCCCATGTAGACAATAGTGTGAATTGTATTTTCAGTAGCTTCCATAGTTGTTAATGAGTAGTGGAGGGGGTTTTAAGCAAATGAATGCAGTTATAAATAAATAGAAAAGTTTAAATTTAAGAAATGTTGGTTGTTTTAATAAGTGATTGACTTCTAGGTTTCTCTGTGATAGTGGTTTGTTTAAGCCAACTGTCTAATTATTTGCAAGTTTAAAATCAAAATTCATGTGCACTAAAAGAATATGGTGCACACTGTAGCTGATTTTTTGTAACGAGGCACATGATTACATGCCGGTTTATCAGAAAGCAGTGTTGGTCTTTAAATTGCTGAAAGAAGAGATATTACATATCAACAAGGTGTAATTTTCTCCTGAGTTGGCCAAATGTTGTAATACTAGATTATTGTGTCCCAATTATGCTTTCCCCAAACATCAATTTCTCAATAAATGGCTTGCCTTTCTTGATAATTTAAGAGGTGTATGCTCATCTTAGTATACAGAGATTTATCATTAACATTTGGATTCCAAAGCTGGTCAAAAAAATTGTCAAAACACTTTTTTTGACAAAAAATGGTTGTTGAGTTAAATGGAAATTTTCATGAAAAAATTTATTTTACAAGTGAAGACTCTTTGATAAAAGTAAACTCTTTATTTCATTGAAACTCTTGCTGGGGGAAGGAATGATTTCCCAATTGACTGTAGTAGTTTTTGACTATCATTTTGTTTTACTTAAAAACCAAGGGTCAAGCCCAAAATGGGCCTAAAAAAACAAAAAAAAAAACCCCACATTTAGGGATTTCTAGGGTATTGCTTAGCTGATAGGAGGAAATATTCTCTCTGGCTGAGGAGGCAGGATCATGGCAATCCAACTGCTGAAGAGAGGCACGCTTTCCAGTAGTTGTAGGGCAGGAGTAAGCAGCTTCATGGTGTCCTGAAGCCAACTGGGTGGGCCTAGTGGAAAAGATCAAATATTGTTCTTCTCTCCCTCATGCACTCCAATTCCCAAGGGGGACAGCGAGCACTATCCCATCTGTTGACAGCAGGGAAGCAGACAAATCTGCCCAACCACAAAGGGGAAAGGGGGATCATGAATCTTCTTTCCCTCATCTGCTCTCAGAATACCATTAAGTTTTGTGTGTTGTGGATGCTTGACTTTGTGTTGCATGAAGACAGGGATACCCAGTGCTTCTTTTTCCTGCCACAGCAGCCCTTTGAAGTACCATTGGGAAAATAGATTTCACTAGTGTAGATAACTGATTAAATACACTGCACTATTAGTGAGCAAGGAATTCAGAATTCCATCTGTGCATCAAAGGGAGAATCCTATAACTCAAAGCCCATAGAGAAAAGTGTTATTTTTTTTGGAATCCTCCTGCATTAACTAGCCTAGCATATAATGTTATAGTAACTTTGTACAGTAATTTGTCTATTGGAACACTTAGATTTTGTGTGAATACACTGTCAATTAATTTTTTTTTTTTTTTTACAGGAGCTAGAGTTAATGCCAAAGACAGCAAGTGGTTGACTCCCTTACACAGAGCTGTTGCATCATGTAGTGAGGTATGAAATAAACACTTTTATTTTTTTTATTGTTTAGAACAGTTCCATGTAAAATAAAATACAGCATCTCAGACTACCTACTATTTCTTACTCAATTTTCTTATAGAATGAAACTACTGAAAATGCTTAGAGAGCCCAGGACGTTTGCAACAGATTTTTTTAATTTAAGAAAAAAAGGGGGGGGCATAACTTTATAATTCCAGTTGTAGAATACAGAAAAAAATTGCAAAAATAATATGCTCTTAGAAGTTTACATTAAAAGAATCTAGAATAAGTACAGGTAGTTTGCTTTTATTATTTTAATACAAAAGGAAACCAGAAATCCTTATACATGGAAATAATAAATAATGAATGTCATTCCCATGACAGGGAATATTTCTGAATTCAGAACATAAATTCCATGATTTCTTTGGGGTGAGATAACCGAAGTGGTTCAGTATAAGGGGAAAATACTCTAGAAACTAAATAGGGTTTGTTTTCACCTATACAGCACAATTTTGTAGTGTTTTTTGTTTGTTTGTTTCATTTTTAATAGGCAAGCATTTCCATAGTTTCTTTATTGAAAACATTGAAAAAATCGTACTAGCAGCTGTAAGCGTTTTAACATACATAAAGTATTTAGTTTGGGCTTGTAGGTTTAAGTTTCATCTGAAACATTCAAATGTACAGAATAGAGCAGAGCAAGCTGCTAAGAAAATTATATCTGGCATTTTGTTTTGTCATAGAAAATCAAGGTTTTTGAAGCATGTATCAATATGTTGCTAAATATAGAAATATCGTAGGAAGAAAAATTAAGAGGTGCATTTATATCATTGTTCAGATATTGTATTCTCTCTGAGTTTCAAACTGGCATTAACTGTCATAAAAGAAGAGTCATAAAATTAGCTCAGTAAAAATGCTGAAGGTTAGGATTGAGATGCATTGTTGCTAGAGTCATGTGGGAGAATTTCACAGAACCTGCCTACGCAGACTTCTGTACCTGAGTCATATCAGTACTATTATTGCTTTATTTTTATTGCGGGGAGAGAGAGAGAGAGAATAAAATGAGATGGTTTTGGTTTTGCAGAGTCTCAGGCATCAGACTATGGATCTAAAACCATCCATTTTAGATTTTGCTTTTGGGCCAAATAGTAGCATTTAGCCACTAGCCTAAGTAAGTAGTAATGTGGAGCTGTTGTCCCATAAGGAACTTGGGCACAATTCTTCTATGAATGGCTTGATGCATAGGCTACACTATCCTTTAGGATAATGCAATATGCTCCCCTGAGGGAGCCTCACTGAAGCAGCAGTCCCTGCACTCTCCTGAGCATTGGGACTATAGTAACTCCTCACTTAATGTTGTAGTTATGTTCCTGAAAAATGCGACTTTAAGTGAAACGATGTTAAGCGAATCCGATTTCCCCATAAGAATTAATGTAAATAGCGGTGTTAGGTTCCAGGGCAGTTTCCCCTACTCTGCAAGCACCAGGGATGGGGGCTCAACCCTCAGCCCGCCCACTCCACCCCTTCCCCCAAGCCCCCACCCTTGACCCGCCTCTTCTTCCCCCTCCCACCTCCTTTCCCTTTACTTCGTACGCTGCATCCTGGCTCCTCCCCCCTCCCTCCCCTCCCTTCTAAACCCCGCAAGCCAGCTGATTGCCACGTTCGGGAGGCAGGGTAGGGAGGGGAAGCCTGCGCGCTGAGTCCTCGCTCCTCCCCCCTCCCTCCTGCCTCCAAAACGCCGCAAGCCAGCTGATTGCCGCCAGCAGGAGGCAGGGGAGGGAGTGGGAGCCTGCGTGCCGAGTCCTCGCTCCTCCCCCCTCCCTCCTGCCCGGGGCAATCAGCTGGCTTGCGGCGTTTAGGTGGCAGGAGGGAGGGGGAAGGAGCGAGGCCTTGGCGCAGGCTCCCC